TTAAACTTGATATATTTTAACTCTCAAGGGCAGGTAAGAATGCTAGGCAAATTTGCAGAATAATGCTCCATTTTCTATGTTAATTTGATTGATCTATCTATTCGATATAAGTTGAAAACAGGCATATCATTTTTCTTGAATAATAAAAAAAATTTCATCACAATCCTTGTAGAAAAAAGAGCTAACTTTTTATATATAAGGGGTGAATGTTGCATAGCTAAAAAGAAAACAAAATGTAACTCTAATTACAGAGAAAAGAATAAGTTGTCTTCAATAAGTAAATAAAGTCCAAGAAAAATTTGAAAGTACATAAAAAATGCCAATCGGAACGTCCTCGGCTTTTATCCATAATAACCTCGGAAACAATACGGATTGAAAGGAGTTCTACCGTGGTTTCAGATGTAAACAGAGACAGAGATAATGTAAAACGAATCAATATATTTGACATCTAATGTCTGTTCCGGTACTCTTTTGCATGTAAATATGTCTGACAACAATTTGTAATTTAAATATTCCCACTGATGTTCAATTTTAAACAAATCCGACTAAATGTCAACAGGTTGGTTTTTCGTACTTTCGGTTTCTACTACCATAATAATAAATATATAAATAATGTATTGTTTGCTTTTGTACCTATGAATTCATTTATTTTAGGTGGACTTTTACTACATATATTTGAAATAAACTTGTCAACAACTCCAAGCATTAAATTACTTTTTTTACGTAAGCGTTAGTTAGACCAAAATACCGCATCCGTTCTGTGTATTCATACTATTGTGTGCGAGGTCCTTATCCGTAGACTGACGGAAAGGGCCGAGTAGTTGCGATTGAAAAAATGCCTGGTATAAAGGTATAATTGTTCCGATTAGGGCGATATCTCGAACCCTTCCAATTATCGAGGAATCATTCATGTAAAAGAAATTGCTAAACTAATTTCACTTATTCTTAGATATATATTTAATAGAATGCGAGAAGATCAAAACGTGTTCAATGATTCTCAAAATTCGGTTTCAAAATATGCTCAATTGCAAATTAAAAATATATTGTCTATTCGCCGACTACGAAAAGGCTTTCGATTCTATTGTTAGAGATGCGTTATGGTTAAAGCATTTGAAAATTGATTGGCATTAGTTGTAAGATGTTAACTATATCAAAGTCAACATATGGCTCTATTACCTTTATCTTCGATGCCTTATCTGATTTGCTCGACGTTACTCTTTAATTAAAGCAAGGGGAACCACTCTCGTCTTTTTATTCATTCTCTTTGTGACAAAATTTATTTTAACTCTCTTGCTGATAACGATCTTAACTAGTTATTTATTTACATTTTATTTGTTGCTTTTTCTGATAATATAGCGCTCGTTACCACTGACACACACACAGCTTTCAAAGCCCAGTTAGGTGCATTATATAGTTATTCATCAAAATGGGCTTCTTGGAAACAAATGTCAGTTAAACAGAAATCTATATGTTTAAAAATATCATTTTCAATGGTTAATTAATGGTGAATTGCGGGAAGTTGTGGACCAGTTTTTTTTGCTACTTAGGTGTAAAGTTTACCTGCACTTGTAATATGAAAAATGCTGCTATTGCGCTGTCTGAACAAGCATTGAAAGAATAACATATTTGTTTGGGTAATTCAGTAGAGTAGATTTAGATATAAAAACTTAAATGTCTTTTTTTATTCTATGGTGCAACCAATTTTGCTATATAGTGCAGAGTTTTTGGTGTATTTACGATTGCAAAGGAACTGACAAAATTTGTGTTAAATTTTGCAAGAACGTACTTGATGACGTCAGCAAACGCCAAATAATGCTGTGTTATGTGAGTTTGGAATAATTTCCCTTTCTGTTATTTCCAAAGAAAGAAGTCTTTAATTCTGGTTAAAAATTATGAAAATCCAGGACTCACAAATTAACAATATGTTTGTAGACCAATGCAATAGAAATAACGATTATAATTGGTTAAGCAGTAAAACGCTTGTTAGATAGCTTAAGTTGTAGTCATATATGTCGTTACTTTGACTTTGTATTTAATTATATATATATGCCAAAATTATGTTAAAGCAGCATCTGCAGTAAAAATCTATACAGAACTGGAATACTTCAAAGACATAATATACCTAACCTTGAGTATTACAGAAAATTTGAAACTACATTTTGTAATAAAATTATGTTGATGTTTAACAAATAATGTGTAAAGGAAAGAACTTGTTTGTTTCAGACTAGGCTCTCATAAATTAGAAATAGAAACTAGAATATTTTTGAACATGTTAAACTATTCGGCGTATTTGTCATGATACTCTGTAAATGGTTAAAAGGTAATGATCATATTATTACCTACAGAAAGCTTTGTCTTATTTGAAAAAACATTCATATTAGCTACTTTGAAATTTATTATCACCTTATAAGTAACATGATAGTTCTTCGTACGTGATATCATTACGTATTTATACCCCTGACTTTTTTCGTAATGTAAATATCCCATAGGCCTCTGGAAGGTATTCTAACTGTAAATGCAAGTGTACCAAGTGACTAAGAATTTTGTACTGTTACATAGGTAACAGTACTTTTTAACAGTATAAAATCTGGTCACGTGGTCTATTTTCTGAATAAAATGAAATACAATGGCTGCCATTTTTTCTCGATTCACCACGATAGGGCATCACCAGAGTAACTATGACACCAATAAAATATATAGTTTTTGCATCCTACTGTTGGGTGCTTTTTGCATATAAAATATCATTTTGTTGAATAGTCAAAAAGTAAACATTTATTTTCAACGGAAGTAAAAGCAATGTGAATAATGTGTCAGACTGGTACATGTGTAAAGTGGCGGCATGGCCGAGTGGTTAACGCTTTCGACTAGTTATATAATGATCGCTAGCCGCATGGGTTCAAATCCTGACAGTGGCAAGTCGTTGTTTCATTGAGCAAGAAACTTAATACTCAGTGCTCAGTACTGGTTAGTTCCAAGAACGGATTCAAAAGTGCGTTTATAAGGTTATAGCTTCCTGCATAATCGAACCAAAATGAATTCTGTATAAACCAAACTGGTAAATGAAGACGATTAAGGTATTACCATCCTAATGCATTACCTCCACTTTGAAGAGTATTCAAATAGGCTAGAACTACTATTAACTACATTAAAAATTAGGGCCGTGGGCTCAATCCCCAGAAGGGTCAACTTTTCTTTCTTTCTTTTTTTCTTTTAACATTATTTGTTTATCTCTCAGATCCCACTTGGAAAGAAAAAAATGTTTAATTTTGATTTTTTTTAATTTACGCTAAATTATGCTAAATCTAGTAATAAATATGGTACCTGATATTTTCAAAGTGTAATAAAATCAAAACTAGAAGGTAAAAGTATTTCATATTTTACAAGAACAACCAATATACTTCTTTAAAAATTTAGGAAAACTTTGAAAACAGGCACTCATTTGGGTAAATTTTAAGGATTTTTTAAATAAGGCTCCCTAAGTAGGAAATGGTCAGACACGTGGTAAAAATGGATGGAGTAGAGTAACATTTTCATACAGATTTCATAAATTTTAAGTAGAAACCATAATTTTGCTTGTGTGGATTGTTAGCTGAATGGTACTCTTTGTTTCTTACCAAAAATTAATGGGAAAACATTTTTCATTAGAGTGTTATTGCAGATTATTTAAAGGTTCCTTATTTCTAAAAAAGGACCCTCATAACATCCTAGCTTGAGTTCAGAAAAGTGGCCATAACTTGATTTAGTTCCTTATAGTGCCCATTTGGGTCGTAATACCTACCTTAAAGCATGCAACAAAGGATTATTTAACAACTTTAATCACTGAAACGTTACATATATGGTAGACAAGACATAGGATATCATCGTTATTTCGTAAATGCACTTTTTTCAAAAAGCATGCGAAGAGAGTATTCTGGATACAGAAGGATGTTTTGTTTTCTAAATAAAACGCAGCTTATTGTATGTTTATGAATTGTAGATATCATCAATTGCGTTAAGAATTAAAGAAACAAAAAACATCTAAAGTAGGCCTACAGTACACTTAAAACACTTATAAGGTAAGGACAATTTAGTTATTGCTACTCTTGGTTTATTTTTGTTATACGAGGGTTGTTCGGCAAGTTTTGAGACTGGGTCAATATTTAGCGTTGGAAAAGATAAAATCAAACAAGAGTTTACTATGTATTACTTTAATACCTCATCGATTATAATGTAAAATTTCATAACAATAGCTTCATGTATACAAAAGCTACAAAGCGTTAGGCATAGACACTACCGGTGACCCGGCGAACGCAACGACGTTATCCGACGTTGCCGTTATTTCCAGAGTTTAACGTCACCGTAGAAAAGTCAACTGCTACTCCTTTTCAAAGTATCTTCCTTCACAACGTACACATTTCTCATGCCTCGTAACCCACTTAGCGAATACATTTCTATACCAGTCAGATTTAAATGTTGGAATAATGCTCATAACTCTAGAGCGCAGTTCAACTAGGTCCTCAAACCGGATTCCTCGTAGTTCGGATTTGATGGCCGGAAAAACGGAAAAGTCCATTGGGGCCAGGCCGGGTGAGTAGGGTGGGTGAGCGATGCGGTTAAACCCAAGAACATCAAGTTACAGAGAAGTGGCAGATGCTGTATGCGCAGGCGCATTGTCTTGATGTAGGTAGATGTTCTCCAGAATTGCAAGCATTTCCGGCCGCTTCTAACGGATAGCGTTGATCAGTTCCCGTCTGATTACCTTAAACAGAAATATCGGAGCTCGTACTTAATACAGATACAGGTGAATTAATTTCAAATTTTTATAATTAAGTAAATAATCAATTTAATTATCTATATTATTTATATATTTATTTTTAATAATTTTCATGTTAAATAAAGTTAACATAATTACTAACCCTGCAGTAATAGTCAGCGTTCACCGTCTCTCCCTTCGGTACAGAAAGTGTTAACAGCATCCCCTTCCGGTCCATGAATAGAATAAACATATGTTTCCCAACGGATTAGGTTACACGTGCTTTCTTCGGGGGTGGAGACGACGTGTGCTTCCAAACTGAAGACTGCGACTTTGTTTCTGGGTCGTAGTAGTAAAACCAGGACTCGTCGGTGGTAATAATTCTGTTTAAGAACGCGTCGCCTTCTCTCTGGTATGAACGTAGAAACTGTCGAGATGCTTTTACTCGGTTGTCTTCCTGATCAGCCGTCAATAATCTCGGTACCCAACGGGCCGAAACCCGAGACATTGCAAGTGTCTCAGTTAACATTTTGTGAGCAGTTGCCGTACCTACATCACAAACTTCTGCAACTTCTCTTACTGTTATGCGACAGTCGCACTGAAGCGCGTTTCTTGCAAGTGTCAGTTTATCGTCGATGACGGATGGGCGACCGCTCCTTTCCTTGTCTTTTGTTGACTTTCTGCCATCCCGAAACTCTTTATGCCATCTAAATACCAATGGTCGACTAACAGTACGTCCGTTGTTTGCCTGTTCTAGAAGTTGCTTAGTTTCTGTTGGCGTTTTCCCAAGATTAACGCAAAACTTAATAAAAACACGCTTTTCCTCTTTTGACGGTGTTTCCATAGTCGTTGTCTTGTCGCGCACGTATTGCTATAATGATCTGCGGTAACGGCTTAAACAACTAACGGAAATGACGTCCTTAAGTTGGAAGTGACGTCATAAAATTTTCGTGACGTTTGGCGCAATTTTAGGGGCTGTTTTTATTCAGTAAGAAAACTTATAACAAGAAAATAGTCCGTGCGCCAGGATGCGTAGACAGGTGTTGCTATGGAAACGATTATATGCCGTATCGTAACGTTATTTACTTAGAAACAGAGAAAATCATATTGTCTCAAAACTTTCCGAACAACCCTCGTAGTCAGATTAAGTTGACAATTTCAGATCATCACAGTAATTGTTCGGGGTAAATATCATGCCTTGTAAAAATACTGTTACCAGAGGCGTAGCTGAGGGTAACAGTATCTTCCTCGGGATGATATTTTTACTGTTACCCATAAACCCATGTATTATTTATAAAATAAATTAATTGGGAGGGACTTCCCCTTTTTTAGTAATAGAAAATTCAAATTAGTAAAGGTATCTTTGATACGTAGGTGATAGTTATTTCATAATTCGATGTATCTCCAAAAAAGTTATATTAAAACCAAACTGTGGCATTAGGGCGTTACGTTCATACGCTTTTGGTTCGCGTAGTAACGCCTACATATGCGTTATCACCGCCTTTGATTATCGTAATAACGCCTTTAGTTTTTCATCATTACGTGTTCAAACGCCTTTATTCGCGTTTAATGCATTATTTGCGTTATTACGCCTTTTGATTCGCTTATATATGTCCTTTGTTTTTGCGTAATAATGCCTTCATTCATGTAATTACGCCTTTCCAATATTTTATTTTATTAACATTCAAATTTTGCCTTTTTAGATTTGAAATAGCTTTTAATTTTTTGTATGTACATGAATAACTTAGTTCACTGATGGCTTTCTCCTATCTTACATATTAAATTATTGTTAATCTTTGTCTAAATTTATTTCGGCTACTTTAAAGTTTTCATATAAATACCAAATTTTACGTAGAAATTAGAAATAGTTTGATATATTCACTGGGATATAGTTTTCCACAATTGAATTTTAAATTACGATTTTAATGGCGAGTATGTGGTTGACACATGCAACATGAGCAGCAGTAAAATAAACCAATCAGAGAAATGAAATCTCTTACACGTTAATTAGGTTAATATTTACCTAATTTTGTTAATATTATGAACTGCTTAGATTGTTAACTCTACTAATGCTAATATTTATGTGTGATATCTACTTTACAAATTAATTTTTGAATTAAAAAAGACGACCTGAACAGGGTCAGCGTGACTTAAAGTCAATTAAAGTTATTAATAAACAGAAACACTTGTTTCTTCAAGTACCGGAAGATATGAGTAAGATATGATATAAACCCTTTAATACACCCGGAAATGAATTATGAAAGCTATATCCGTTTTTATGCTTCAAATCATCAAATTTTAATACTGTTCTCGCTAACAAACCATCCTTTATTTGTATATTATAATAGAGATGGAATTGATCTACATATTACTTTTCTGTCTTATATGGTTGCCTTTGGGTGAGTCTAAATATATTTTTTACTTGTAGCAACATGATTTCTCTTATACCGAACTCTTATTACCTTTTTGTTTTTTAAAGATCAATTAAATGTTTACTTAAACATGTAAAAGATTTAAATATGAAAAGGATCTTGGATAACGACTATTAGAGTATGTGCTTGCATCTTTTATTTTCATACATTAGCATTTATCAAGGCGATTCTGTGAAACAAATTATATAGTATTTACTTATATATCAATTTTTTTTATAAAATCCTAACAAATAAATAATGGAATAGAATTAAAATTTGATAATCATAAAATGGAAGTCCTCTTAAAAACATTACCAACAATTACGTAAAAAATGACGCGCTAATTCGTTCATTACGCAACGTTGAATAAATCATCGCCAATCAAAGTTTTATGTAAAACGTAAAACATTAATTAAATTACAACCGGCTTATAAACGATTCCTACAATTTAAATATGAATCTGATATTACAAACGTGATGATTAACTTTTATACGTTTTCTTTCGTTTTTCTATAAACTTTAATATGAAATATATCAAGTGTGGTAAATCCCTATCATATATGATTATATACCTGGGATCAGCTAAAAGTAACTTATTTTTAACCAAGGTTTTCATAAGCGTTTGAGTTACTATGATGATATTTCGTAACTATAATTTTCAGAATCACAGAGCCAAGAATGCGATGCAGATCAAGGACCTAGTACGTATAAAACATTTATCAACATATTTTCAAAAACTAAAGATAATTTGTATTTTAGTATTGTTTTTAATTATCACAGAATAGCTGTGAAGTGTTATAAAATACTAAAACCTACTTTTATGAAAACAATTGCTCTGTTTATATTCAAAATGTTGTGTTGGTGCGGTTGATGTCAAATACTACTGTTCCTCGAATTGTATTGCTATTTGTAGCAGATGATCAACTGTTTTAGAACTAAAAGTATTATGACTTTTGATTATTTAACCACTTAAAACTCTAATAACATTTTGAAAGATTTTGACACATTCTTTTGCATCTATTAATATTAATTTTAAAATATTTGCACAGTGCAGACTACCCACTTTAACGTAAACTTTAATTGATATTTCCTCTATCATTTTCCTCAAAATCCTTATTCAGTAAGTTGATTGCCTATCGTATTTAAAAATATAATATACATTAGGCCCGAGGTACTTAAAAAATATGTTTAAACTTGGATTTCAGGTGTAAATTGGTCAGAAACTAGCACAGATTGTATACTGACCAAATAAATAATCCCGAGATTCGAGAAAGATTTCGGAAAAAAGATGCCGTGTCTTGTACATGTAGAACAAAATTAATACGAACAATTTTGTGTTGTACAGGTGTTAAAGTCTGCACTGACCAAGATGTAACTCATAAAAGATTGATCTATATTGATGCTATCAGCGCTCCAGATTTCAAGAGGTTATCATGTGAATGTGTTATTACACCTTACAAACGAAATACCATTTTACATTTACGCTTAAACCATTTGAAAAGCAGACGTAGTATAACATTTGAAATAAATGACATAAGCATAGGGAAGTTTCATATAACAGGCAGAACAAAACTAACAGGCGCGACGAAACTTTTCTATTCTAAACTGCAAAATCACGAAAGTGATGGAGCCTGCTTAGCTGTTTATTCAGGTACGTTCATATATTCTTGAATGATCCGGAGTTTTATTTTTATTTTATTAGTCTTATATATATGATTATTTCTTTATTGAAATATATGAATCAAAAGCTTACTGTTCCTTGAAATCCATTATAACAGTTATATAAACCATAAGCTTAAGGTTAGTTAAAATATAAGTAAATATCTCTAAGAAACATAAAGAAGTTAGTCTACTATTCTGAAAATATTAACCTTTATCCTGCTGAAAACGTAAGTAGCTGCCTTTGCTGCCAGCAAAATATATCAAGACAGTGAAGTCTCTGAATATGCTTTTTACTGCTGGCCGGCCATCTTTGTTTTTTCATAATAACATCTGATTATTAAAGTGTTTTACAAAAAGCTAGACAATTTAGCTTAGAACATCAGAAAGGTAAAGGCTAATTGAATTGATCGTTTCAGTCATGGGAGATCATTTTAACATTTCTTGCACGAAAGCAACACAAACGACAACAATACAGACTGGCACAACGTCTCTATCTAAGGGGAGTGAAACTTATAGCATTTCGAGTGAAAAATTCAACATTTCTAGTACGAGAGTATCAAGGGGGGCGAAACATCAGAAAAGCACGGCATCTGTTTCCCGAGGAAGTGAAACAATAGAGACAACTTTAGAGCTTAAATATACAACTGTGTCAGGAGCAAACGATTATACAGGTATTTTCAACGATCGAATAGAGAATATCTTTAAAATGCCCATCAATAAATCTTAATTCATATCTAAGTAGAGTTTATAATTATACAATCTGCATCCCAAATTCAAATACTACTTTTATGGTTAACAGTAATCTTTACACAATATTCGGTCTCTATTATTGAGCATTAGTTTTAACACTAACAGGATCATTTATGTTCAATTTTTATTCTTGTAATTGATTATTCTTGAAAAGACAAATACATATATTGTTAAAGGCGTACGCTACAATTACATATGTATATGTAGTAAAATGTTAAACTTTATAATAAAATCTACATTATTCGTTTGTCTGACGAACCATATTTTACTACTGATTTTTGGTTTTCATTATATCCCTGGTCACAATGCAAAACTTTATTGAAGTTATTAAACATTGGTGTTCCTTTATTCTGTTTATGTAAGGGTCAAGAAAACCAGCATAAAGAAGAAAAACTATGAAAAGTAAAAAAAAAACAAATTCTTGAAAGTTTCACAACGTTTAAAAAGAAGTAAAATATTTACAGTTATAATATTTAAACACTTTCTCTTGGTTTTCAAGCTAATGTTTTACTTTCACCAACTTTCTAGCTGCTGTAATACCAAGTGTGATTTGTGCCATGCTGCTTGTGATAATAGCATGTCTCCTTATTTACATTAGAAGGCAAGCACATTTCATTGCATTATACTGTTTAAATAAATACATGCTGGCTTTTTTTATACGTTAGCCATATATTTTTTTAAGATAATTAAAAAATAATTATCAGACCAAGCATATTGATACATGGATTTTAAATTCAACTTATGTCTGTAAATTATAAGGATTTTATTTGAAATAATACGATGCAAAAGACATTGATGGTTTGTAATAAATAGATATAATTTGTTTAACGTACTTATATTCAATATTTGAAATGAATGGACATAAATTGATCTTCATAACACAATTTTATTATCTTGGCAATGTGCGTATAAGGATTCAAACGAATGTTTCAGATTGAAACATCAACGTGCAAACCAGCAGCAATCGAACGAACACTCTTTTACCCAACAGCTGTCAGAAATGGAGACACGTTCAGAGGAAGTTCAAGTTGCAATCAATAAAGAAACAGCTGCCACCGCAACTCTCAATGAATATGAACGATTAAATATGTATGAAAATCCGAATTGTAATGCTGAGATGTATCAACAACTTGAAATTGCTAATGTTTAAAGTCAATACATATTATATATATTTTCAAACCAGAAACAAATCTAATATTGCGATGGTTTTACATGACATATACGCAAATGTTTGGTATTATTTTTGTTATGATATTTTATATTCATGTGGCCTTAAACCATAACATTCATTTGTGTACATTTCCACTGACCATATAGTACATGTAGAACATTGCATTCTCACTAAACCGATAGCCAAAAATATGTAAATGTTACAAAAAATAGCGGTGTTGGAAAATGTTATCTCACATAGTCTTATCTCACACTCAACGTGCAGCACTTCCTACACATACGCGATTTACTCCTATTTTCACAAAACTGAAACGTAAAAGGTCAAAATGTATTAAAAATATGTGAGCTAATCTATTTAATTTTCCACGAATCAAAAAAAGATTGATATTAACTTTCACACTGCAATGAGTCCTACTCTACCTAGGTACGCCCTTTTCAATATCGGTGTGTTTCTAAAAATAGCACACTTTAAACTATCGCAAACTTATTCGTAAAATCGGATATTATGACACTTTGCCTCAAAAACATCCATGTTTTCTGTTATGATAACGATGCTTCTTGATGACGAATCTCATTTTGATGTTTTTTAATTGAATATTCTGCCAAAATACCGAATAAGTAGAAAAATCTTTACAAACGGTAAACGCTTTTGTCAACCATTAAAGTACGGACTGAATTCCTCATAAACACTTACACTATTCCGACTTTAATATTGATGTTTTTTATCATTATAACCTTGCTTTTTGATGAGGGATCTCATATGAATTTATTTTCATTGAATGTTTCATACGTAAACTTGATCAGTAGAATTGTTTGCGGACGTACATAAGGCGCTTAAGCCCCGCCCCGCTTTTCAAAACTAGGTACTGTGTAATGCGCGGTAATGCGCGTAGCAGGTAGTTTATTCTGTTTCTTGTGTGTCCCGGTGAGTGAGAAAAAATCAATCATTGGGTAAAGTAGAGGATAGGGAAATCCCAACCCTCGGGCAATCGGTTCCATCGGGAACTCGCCAAGGCTCGTTCCCGATCACCCTCGGATTTATTTGCATTTCCCTTTTCTCTATCTAACCCAATGATAGATTGTATTATTCTGTGCAATTATTCCGCCGATGCGACCGTCCCTATAGTAAAGCTGACTTCAACAAACTTGTGTCTTTTATCTTTTTGTAAATTCACATTTGTTAATCGTATGGACAAACTAATAATTTATAAAAGTATACAAAAAATGTTTAGAAGTAAGAAAAGGAATAAACAGTATTTCCGATCTTCTGTGCTAGTTATGAAGGGATCAGATTTCAAAGGCATTTTAAAGTGATGTTCACAGGCCTGCTGAAGAGCAAAACTCAGACAGAAAAAAATATCTTATTTGTTGATTACAATGATAGAGATAGTCACGCGAAATTGGAACGGTTAACTAGTGACGATGTCGAAGAGCTATTATGATAAATTGAAAGAACATAGGAATTCTTCCTTAAACGCGACATTAGTTAAGTGCAAAGTAGCTGAATAATTTTCTTAACTTTGTTTTAGTTATATCCTTATTAGGTCAAATGCTATTATCCGTTAAAGATGATATACCATGGTAACGGCCTCGATATCCCTTATTATCAGATATATTTATCACATTATAAAAACTGTCGTCTTGATATTAGGAAAACTATTCAGCGACCTTGAACATCACCTTATTAATTAAATGATTAATCCAACCAACGTGATATGATTACCAAATAACGTGAAATTATCTCGTTATTTCATGAATGTGTTTCCTAAAAAGGCATTATGTAAGACCTATTAGGGTGAAAGTACCTCTAGAGTCTGTGACAGTATCGCCTAATAGGATGGGAGTGTGTACTTAATGTCCTAAGTAGGAGACATTTTATCTTTTTAAGTAAAAGAACATTCAAATAAGGTTACAGTTGTATGTACGGTATAGTTATTTCCTATATTTAGACTGTGACATTAAGTCGTATCTATATAGATATTTCAAAATACAGTATGATGCACACATATTGTAAGCAAATAATTTATATCAATATTGTTTTCCTTTTGTTCGCGTAAAAAACCCATTTCATTCGCACAATTATGTTATTAAAGGGGCATCATCACGCCTTTTGTTTTGCGATACCTCGCCTTAGTCTCGCTATATAACCTGTTTATAACCTGTCACAATGTATTACGCCTTTTGTTTCATCGCCTTTGTACGCGTTATAACAAATTTGCTTCGTGTTGTAATACATCTCTCACAAAATTTAACTTCTTTACTTGCATTATTACGCCAACACGACTTTTGATTTTGATTTTTTGAATTTCGCATTTTGTTTCGCGTTATAAGTCTTCATTCGTGTAATAATGCCTTTCCAATATTTGATTCAATTTTGTTAACATTCAGTTTGATACTTTAAGGATTTTGTTAATGTGTAATAAAATTTGTGTGTATAACTAAGTTCACAGGTGACCTTTCCAATCAGATATATTTAATTCTTGTTTGGGAGCCAATTTTGATCTAAAATAGTTAAATTCGGCAAGTTTAAATACAGTAAACTCCGCTTATAACGAACTCTATGGGACATTCAAAATATGTTCCTTATATCCGGAGTTCCTTATAAGCATATAGCTAATTAGTTCCTTGTATCAGGAGTTTTTATAGCGAACATATTTACATCTGTTTACCATTGTCCGCCATTTTGAACAGTTTTGATGAAGAAAAAAATAGTCATATATTTTTCTCTTTAGACACAAAACCCGAGAGCGTACTATTTGGAATTTGAAAATCGTTTGCTATTTCAGTTTAAGATTTACTTTGTTTTTCATTTTCTCATAAAATATCATATTTTCTTTCTAAACTCAGTGCTTTTCTTTCCATGATTAAGAATAAACAAGAGTTTCCATTTTTCCTTCCTTTTATATTGAATATCTTATTTTTATTTTAAGAGGGACTTTTACTTATGAAAAATATAGATTTCTTTTTATTTCGATCAAACGTATTTTGGTGGATTTTTTTAATGGATAAGTGATTATGATTATGTTGAAAACCGATTATAAATGATAATAATTATTTTACTCGAGCAAACCTTAAAGAAAAGAAAAAACACAATAAAAGGTGACAAGAACTGATGCTTAAACTTTCCTAAATAGAACATTATTACGTAGTGCTATACAAATTCATTCTAAGTAAGGTTAATATTTTCCTATTGGGGTCAATGAGAAGAACAGTCTGGATTTTTTTCTAAGACTGCTTATGTGTATATGTGTTATTAATGACACAACTGTCTACTTTACAAATGTATCTTTAAGATTAAAATAGGCGATCTGGATAGCGTTAGCGTGACTTAAAACCAAACAAATTAATTAATATCATTTCTAAACAGAAGAAAAATAATTATTTTCTTTAAGTACAGGAAAAAATGAGTAACATATGATGTAAACTTTCTGACGCATCAGGAAATGGATTGTCACGCTATATTATTTTTATTGATTAAATTTTGTAAATTTTAGTAGATCTATACTGTAATTGTAAAACAAACCGTTTAATTGGCATATTATTTATCGGTATATTACGATATATTAGAAATGGAATTGATCTACATATTACTTTTCTGTCTTATATTGTTGCCTTTGGGTAAGTCTAAATATGTATTCTACTTTTTGCAACAGGATTCCTTTGATAAAGAATTGTTATCATCTAATTGTGTTTAAAGATCAATTGAAGATTAAATTACACATTTTGTATATGAATTTGATATTACAAACGTGATGTAAAACTATTATACATTGTCTTTCGTCTTACTATAAGCTTGCACAAAGAGTGTGTTTAATCCATATCATATATTATGATAGTCCTATATCAAAATTACTTAAACATTGTCTTTCACATTGGACGTTATTTCGTAACTATTTTTTTCAGAGTCACAAAACTAAGCTTGTGATGAAAATTCTCAACCTAGTACGTATTAAACATTTAACTATTTTCTAAATCTAAAGATATCACATTGTTTTATATGCAACTGGGGTGACTTGCGAAGTTTTATAAGTTTTCCACTTTCATATACAAATGTATATGCGATGAAAACAATTAAGTCCAGTCAATTTGTGAAAAAATACTTCAGAAAATGGGAAAAGCATCAAACTTGGTACAAATGAACTTTGATACATATAAGAAAAAATGAGCAAAAAATGTTGTATAAAAATTGAATGATAATTTTGTAGAAATTTGCCTCTACAGACTCAGATTTTGAAACACCTTTAATGAAATAACTGCTTTTAAACTCTACACATTGGTTTTCGATTGATTAACTGCTAACTTGACACCAACTTTCAAGGCAAATCTAGTGAGACCTTACACTAACTCATTATTGTAAATAACATCAACCTTTTGGGATGTAACAAAATTGATATTATACCGGTCCCGTCTTCCTTCTTTAATGCCACCACCACCCTTAATTATATGTCAAATTCTATTTTGGTGTCCTTATAGGTGCCCTGTGCCACAAAATATTATATTTAGTTGCTAGGCTTCATGACTTCTGGTCTCCGTTTAAACAAAATTGCAAAAGGAACGTTCTTACAAGTTTTTATATTTCAGACATACAAAATTAAGTCAACAGCCCTTTAAATGAAAGACTCGGCATTTCCGCGCTATAATCAGATCAAGGAAAACAATGGACAAAACGACCTAAATAATTTGCCATATCTTGGCACTGTATTTCTTCTGATGGCCTTTAAAGTTTGTGAGATTCCAGATACGTCACCATGTCTAAGGTTTAGAACGAATGGGACATTGAAAATAATATAAGTACGCCTTGCTTCCCATAAAACATCAGATACCAAGGGTATTTCTCTCTAAATTCTCTCTTAATTCTGACAGCTCTTAATCATGCTAATGAGAACAGCCTTTGTGATGAATGTGTTGTTTGTTATTATTGAGTTCCAGTCAGTTTTTTTGTGCTGGGTTTTGTTGTTATAGCTCAGCAGTTTCCAGACTTGACAACAAATTCCAAATTTTCGTTGACATGCTTAAACAAAACAAGAGTAAAAGATATTGATTTTCATCATCAAAATCGAGAACGTAATTCCAAAATAGACTATAAAAGCAGGTTTTGTTCCTTTGTGACAGATTTGATCTGACATGTTCAATTCTTTTTATGATATGTGACGTAATTACGAACAATTCAATAGAATGAGAATGATGGTTGAGATTTAGTACAGTTTCGAAGCTCAAATAGAATAAACATAATGGTTATAATGTTTGCAGTTAGAAATGCCCAAAAAGAGCAACTTTACAAAGATAAAGAGCAAATATCATAACTAAGGCTCTTTGCTACCAATTCCAGTTTTGTAATCTTGTTCTAGAACAAAAAAGTGACATTGACCTTGCTCCCAGATATCTAAATAGCAATCCAAAGCTGCATCTTAATATAAGCTACCCACAGAGCAAGTTTAGAGTCAATAGATGAAAGCAAACTCAAATTATTACGTGATAACTGAGTTTCTTTTTAAGTGACAGTGATCTTGACCTTGTGCACACACACCTAAGTAGCAATACAAAGTTGCATCTTGATATAAGCTACCCATATACTAAATTTGATGTCAATAGGCCGAAGCAATTTCAATTGATTGAGCAGAGACTGAATTTCTATTTTTGTGCAACAGTGACATTGACCTTAATCACAGACACCAAGGTAGAAACCCCAAGCTGCCTCTTGATAAAGCTACCCATACACCAAGTTTGTTGTCAATAGGCCAGAGCAAACTTGAACTATTTAGCGAAAACTGAATTTCTATTTCTAGCAGCAGTGACCTTGATCACAAACACATGTGGAGCAATCCCAAGCTGCACACAAAGTTTGGTGTCTACAGGCAAAAGCAACCTCGAGTTGAGCGGTAACCAAAAGTTGACGTCCGCTCACCTGCCCGCCTGCCGACTTCGGCATAACAATAACCGGTTTTCGTTGAAACCTGATAAACAAATTTATATGACTTAACATTTTTAGGACTGAATTCCATGAACGCTGGTCTCTGTTGTATTCATAATTTGAGATTCCTGTGATTGATTAAACATGATTAGTCACGGTTGTTGTTTTTATCAAGTCTAAGGCTGTCAATCCTTTCAGGACTATGTTTTACATTAACTTCAGATGAAAGTCTTACCTCAGATAGAGAGATACTTGACATCATTATAATATATGAAATAGGACACTCAGCATCACCCATAGAATTTCAATATGCATAGAGCTTGCAAAGCGCAAAACTATACATTCTTTAAATATCCTCGTAACTAAGATTTAATATTGAACGTAAATGATGAAATTAAAAAAAAAACTTTTAAGGAATACGCAGGCAAATTAATAACAATACTTAAATTATCTTATTTAC